GGGGGGCTGGAGTGGCAGGGCTGACTAGGGACGGAGAGGGAATGCAGGGCTCTCCCAATCTGATGTGAGCTACCTACCCCTTACACCCCAACCTCAAATACCCCATTTCGGAAAACTGCTGCTCCCCCTCCAAAACATAAATAAAAACAGGAAGCTAGGTTTCCGAATTAGAATATGGCCAGTGACGAATGAAAGGACAACATGGGGCGTACCCCAAAAAAGGGGGAAAGAACCCAGATTAGTCAACTTCAAGCTGTCAGTCCCCCCGCTCCAAAATCTGAAAGGTCCCAATTAAGTCAGGCCTGCCGGGTTGGTAATTAGAACCAGAAGTGGCCAGGCCACAGGGAGGGGGGCTGGGAGGAGGGCACAGGAGGAGTAGGGGGAGGGCTCCAGGAAGCCAGGAGTCCTCAATGGCCCCCCTTTCTCTTTACCAGATGCACCCCACTCTTCATTACCCCATCTCTGTGTCTCCTAAGCATTGCAGGGAGAAGGGGCCTTAGGACCAGGCATTAGTGTCAGGTTCACTTTTCCCATCATCCACAACCCCCCATTGTACACAGACTTAGTACAGCCTTGGGTAGAAGATGGGGGGATCTAGTGCCCCCTCTTTTCTCCAAAGTCTCCCTAGTCCTTATTGCAGCAATTAGACCCATTAGCCTTCTAGCATTTCATGGGAACCAGATGTTCTCCACCAGCCTGGTGGGAGTGTGGGGGGGTGCTGCCTGACTCACCCCCTTCCCTATGATCCCCATCACCAGGGCGCATCCCCTCCCAGTCAGAGCCCCACAAAGGCACAGCCCCAGAAGCAAAAGGAGCGTACTCCACCCCCATTAACAAGACAAATGACTTTCAGGCTCAAGCTCAGTCACCCCTCAGAGCCCTACCACCCCCGGGAAGGATGAGTTTGGCCCAGATTAGGGGGTACCCAGGATGGCTATTTCCTTATACATTTCTCCTCCCCTCCCTCCTCCTGCCACCTTCTGCATAATGGGCTGAGGATAACTGGCTCTGAATTCCTCAGGCTAAATTTTCCTTTTCTTCCAAAACCCTCCCTCAAAAAACTGAAGGGGCATTTCAAAGTGAAGCAGGCCCCGCCCAGAGGGGTGAGTTCTAACTGAAGAGTCCCACCTGAAGGGCAATGGGAGGGGTCTCTGAGGAGGCACAGAGGAGGGGGTGATATGGAGGTGTGAATAAGGGACTGGACCCAAAGCAAGGATGTGAGGAGCCCTGGGCAGGATGGGGGCTGGGACTGGGTAGGGGGCCAGAAGAGGGGGGTGCAGCCTGGGCCCCAGCAGCGGCGCTTGCCCGGCTCCCCCCGCCAGAGGTTTCCTGTTGCAATCAAAGCCCCGTTTGTGTCGGCCTGGAGCTAGAGCTGGAGCCAGAGGAGGAGAGACTGGGAAGGGAGGGGAAGGAGGCAGTCACAGGGTTTTTTCCTGGAGGAGGCCTCGCTGCTGCCTGTTCACCACCCTTACCAGTCACTGCCTGCTCTCCATGTTTCTTCTTCCCAGTGTCTGGGCTCTCTGAGTCTGCACTTTCAATTAGCAATAATCGCGCCTCGGATAAACCTCATTGGCTATGATACTGCCACTGCTCAAAGCTTGAGTCTGCACTTTCAACCCTCATTTTTTAGGTTTAGGAGTGTCTCTCTTCTTCAGTTAAGGAAGCCTCCTCTTCTCCCTCTGCCAGCCTGCCCTCAGTTTCACCATGTGGCTTAGTGTGGTGAAGTCTGGACTCTACTCCAGAGACACCAGCCTCATGGCCAGGGCAGTTGTCACTTGGTTCAGAGTCCTCAGCCAGGGACTAAGGACTACAGCTCTCTCTTCAAGAAAGAAAGAGCAAGGCTTCCCTTCCCTCCCAGAACACTCTGTTCCTTGTAGTCTTGATAAAGTAAATATACAGCATTACCAGATTTCACAGAGATACACAGAGACACAGACACCAAGGGTTTCATGCACATGCATGCACGGTGTGCACACAGGCGCATGCGCACACACACCCATTTTTTTCCATGTGCACAGGCCCGTGCTTGCCTTGGCAGCACATGCTCCTCTTACCTCTCCCCTCCCATGAGGTTCTGAGATGCCTGCCTCACCCACTGAGGCCCCAGGAGAGGCCAAGAGATGGAGCAAGACCGTCCTTCTCAACTAGGATGTCCCCAAGGTGCCAGAGACTGCATTAAGAACCAAGATCCTGGAAAAAGTTTCAAGGACCTTCTCCAATCTCTCTCTCTCTCTCTCTCCCTCTCCCCCTCTCCCTCTCCCTC